TCCCCCCCGCCCCCGCAGCCCCGCCAGCTCTCGGAGACCCAGAGCACTCTCCCAGGCTCACCAGGTGCTGCTGTCCCGATGTAGCCACGCCCCATAGGAGCCGTCCGCTTTCCGGAACTGCTGGATCCGCATGTACCCTTGGAGAGGAGCGGCGGCTGCTATTTGTGCCCGAGGCCATGCTCCCCATTCCCGTTGGGTACCCCCTTCCCCCCACCAGCCGCCTGGGGTGCCCATCGCCCTTAATGGCCTGCCCCACCCCCGCTTGCCCTGCGCCAGAACCTTTCTGGATCAGGTCCACCGCGTGGTCCTTGGTCTCTGGGGGCAGCCTGCTCCACTGCTCCGTCTTGTCCAGGTAGCGGGAAGCAGCCAGGGTCGGAGCCAAGAGGACCATGGTTTGCTCCCCGCAGCCCTGCGGCAGCTTCAGGAGGGAGGCCACGCCTCCTGCTGACAAGGCCCCCCCGGAGCCCAGGGTGTCCAGTGGACTTGAGGCTACAGGGGAAAGAGGGGGTGACGGATAGAGAGTAGGTCTGGGACCCAGGGTCAGAGGGTCATGGCCCCAAACAGGTTTCACATGCATGCGAGGGTGGCCGCTGGGAAGGGACTGGAGGGCACGCCCACCTGTGACCCTGACAAAGCTGCTGTGGTCTCCATCGGGGATAATATTGGGATCAGAGTTGCCAGGAATTTCCAGGGTCCGGCCTCGGTGGTCTGGGGAGATGGGGAAGTTGTCAGTCTGCCTGGTGTCCATCTCCTCCACCTACAACCCTCGTAGGGCACTGCGGCGGCCAGGGCCACTCACCCAGGGGGTTGAGCTCATACACCAGCTCCTCCATGTGGACGGCGCCTTCCTTCTGTCTCGGGGGAAACAGAGCTCTGAGAGGTCACCCCGCGCCTGGCTGCAGCTGCCCCCCCCACCACCCAGTGCAGACTCCCCGGACTGGGATTTGAACTTTGGAGGCCGAGTGGGATCAGAGTTGTAGAAGGCAAACTGACCAAGGAGTTGGGTTTGGGTGGTGGGCCAGAGGGCCAGCAGAGAGGGTGCTGGGAGTCAGGGGGTAAATCTGGGAGCCTGGGGATCTGGCTTCAGGGGTGCTCCATTCACCTCAATTTTTAGAATCTTAGACACTGCGTCCCCTACAGGAAACTCCATGGACCCTCGAGCCACCACCTTCAGGGACACGGCGGCGGCCGCCGTGGGCACCACAGAGAAGCCAACAGGCCGGGCAGAGTGTGCGGGCACCAGCACCTGCTGGGCCAGCCCTCCGCCCCCAGCCAGGCACAGCCCGTCCACCGGGGCCACGTGGACGCTCAACTGGGGAGGAAAAGGGGAGGGCCAGTCAGGTGGTTGGGCTCTTCATCCCTCCCCCGCCCCAGCCACCCGCTGTGCACCCAGGCTCCCGCAGGCCGCACGGTCAGATCTGTGTCCAGGTAGTTGTACAGGACAGGCCGCAGCTCAAGCTGCTCAAAGCGGCGAACGGAGATGGGCAGGCGGAGGTGCAGGTGGAATTCGCGGAACACTCGGAGCCGGACTGGTGTGGCCACACACAGGCCTGTGGAGAGAGGTGTGGGGACGGGGAGACATCAGAGGCCTGGGGGCATCGCAGCCACTGGGAGGCAGGGTGACCATCTCTGCCCCACTGTCTGCACCCCCCTCCTTGCAGTCAAGGAAGAGGGAGCTGGGTGCAGGGTGGCAGCGGGGAGGGCGGAGCGGCGGGCAGCCCACCTGTCGTTTTGGACAGGCTCACGCCGTGGATCTCCCAGGTGGTCAGAGAGTCAGGGATCGGCAGCTGCGACAACCTGTGGTGGGAAGGTGAGCAGCCGTCACGGGCTGGGCTGGCCCCACCCTGCCCAGACCCAAGGCGGGCCCACCAGGCGCCCTCACTGGAGGTAGCGGTCCACGGTCTCCACCCTCCAGAGCCAGTTCTCCGGGAAGAAGCTGCGCACAGGAATTTCGTCTTCCTCCATCAGGTCCTCCTCCTGCAGGACCTCCAGGGCTGGGGGCCACACGGCACGGTGAGGAGGGCTCTGCGCGCCCGGGCTCCCT